ATTAAATGATCATGAATTTTATCATGAACTTTCACAAGCAGCACTTTCGAATCAGATTGTCTTCAATGATATTCAATGTTCGATGGTGGAATTATATCATTCATTAAGTAAATACTTTCATTCTCAACAGACATCCGAAAATATTGTAATTGATGCTCGTTTACTTGTTCCCTCTGAACAATTCGTGATTGGTGTATTATTTAAACGATTTAATATTCCATCGATATATATTGATAAGGACGGTAATATGGCTATGTTTCCGTACAATCTGAAAAATATATCATCTGGCCAGTAAGTTTTGGATTACTTGAAATATTTTCTTTTTTTTTTTCTTTTGCTAAATCGTGTCCTTTTATCTTTTCATTTGGTCCGTTGCTTTTTCACACAGATCAGGCTCAAAGAATAGCCATTTCTGATACCTCTGTTAGATATAAATCGCTTTTTTCCTTGAGAAACTGTATGATGCAAAGTTTTTGTTTGCTTGAAATTGCTAGTGCTGTAGATCTTAGCCATTCCATCGTCTTATCAATGATATTTGCCACTGGTCTTTATGTTATTGTTTTTTTTTGTTTTAGTTAACTTATTCGTCATTCTGGTTGATCTTCTCCCAATTTGTCAAAGCAAAGAACCATCAAATCGGATTGGCTCATGCTCTCTTTATTTGTACTCTCATTCAAATAAACTATTTTTCTGCCTTTCTGCTGTACTTACATGAAAACTCTAAATCAGTTATAAAATCGAATCGATAGCATTTTTTTATTCGGTTAAACGCATTTCTGATGAATGTTTGAAATTTTCATTTACATTAGAGATCCAATTAGGCAGTTACTCTGTCGAACAATAAATGCTGGTGTACGAGATCATACAGTAGTCAAAAAAATATACTTTGTATTCGTATTCTTACTTCTCTAATAATAAGTAATATGTGATTGCATGTTCAGCATTTTAGAAAATTCATGCGAGGTGTGATAACATTGGACACTGATCAAAGATGTGATCTCGAATTTAGAAATGAAAGAAAAACAAAGAATACATACATAATCAAAACATGGATTTGTTTTATAACATAATAATTAATAATAAGACATATAGCAACAATATATGTAAAATTTGTAAATGAATCATTGATTTATTTTTATTTAATATAATGTATGTCAAAAGACAAAAAAAAGGAAAAAATAATATAATATAATATTTATATGTGTTGTTGAATTTTCAGCCAAGATATACATGAAGCTGAACAAAAACAATTAGAAAAAGAAAATGAAGTTTGTTAAAAAAAAAATGTTTGTTTTTTTGAAATAAATATTTCATCTCTAGATTCAACGTTTAAAAATGATGGAAACAGGGTGTGGGTGTGTGAGGTGTGGGTGTGAGTGTGTTGGTGTGGGTGTGGGTGTGGGTGGGTGTGGGTGGGTGTGGGTGGTGTGGATGTGGTTGATAAGAACACTAACAATGAACATTCACACCCACCCAAACCCACATCCGCAGCCACACCCCACCCACATCCACAGACACACCCCACCCACACCCACCCACACCCACACCCTCAAGAAGTCTCTCGGTCTTCTCTTTCGATTGGTGGAAACCGCAGATTTCTAGCTACTTGCACTCAGATTATTTAAAAAACAGTGGTGGATAATAAAGTGACACTACGATGTCAGAAAAGATCAGTTATTTCTTGGTATAATGACTAACTTCTCATTGCACTTGATCTATACCATTAATGACGCAAGCAATTATCTTACTCTTTGTAATAATACCGGGTATTTTCAAGACCATCGGTCTTTTTTCTTTCTATAATTCCCCTTTTTTTGTGTCTTTGCCACATAGTACGACTGCGTTCACCTTTCTTTCTTTCCTG